TGGTTGAGTGAAACGATTATTAAAATACGTTCACGTGTCAATCCATGTGTTGATTAGTAAAAGGTCTTCTGTGGAAGAACAAATCGTCCAGCTCAATGTTTATGGGCACCAGGAAGGTTTAAAGGAATTTTTGTAATAATCATATTTGCTGATCACTGAACTAATATATCATTTACCGCGTTCATCTGCAAGGAAAGTTTCAATTGATTTTAAACTACTACCGTTAACCGAGTTTCCTGTATGGAAGAAAGCCATACGCTACGTACTAATTTTATGAAGCGAATGCAGAGCCTCGTCGACAGATTCCACGACGATGAAATTTTGCACTCGCAAGCCGTGTTTTTGAAGCAGTTCTTTACTTCTGTATTCCATGATATGCAGCCTTCGCAAGATCTGACAACTGGTCGCGGGATTAAACTATAACACGAATATTGCAAAGGATTAAACAAATCGCTTTTCGTACAAACCCTGCGGAGAACTTTAAACATTGATAACGCTTCGAAGCACATTAAATCGTAAAATCCAAAATCCAACCACTAAGGACAGCAGTGTATTGAAAACTTCAATTTTCCTCAAAAAAGATGTTTTAGAAAATACAGTACTACTAAATACAAAACATGAAACAGTGATAGATGCTTTTAATTTTGAGTAGGATATTCGAATGAAAAATGTTATGGATTCATGGCTTAAGGCTGATAAACTTGGCATAATTGAAGAAATGGTTTTTCGCTTCACGATTCATCGTTCAAGGCCACAACCAATGACGATGTAAAATCCTTTATTTAACAACCAAGCCAGAAACAATATTTTCCTCGGGGTAATAATGTACGATTGAAAGAGCATAATATTATGAAAATTTATGACATGAAAGACCGTTACCTTTGTTCCATTATTTCTTTCTCACAAGCTGGCCGATAAAATTCCAACTGTCATTCAAACTGAAAGAGCTGGCACATTCATCTTGCAGTCTGCTTTTGTTAACCAACGTGTGACAAGGATTTAATTAATAGCCAGAAGTTTGTTCACCCTTCATTTATAAAAGTAACGTTCGTCGGATTAAGTATAGTGTCCCAAGTATAAAGCATGGCAAACGATGCCAGAGTGCTCTATTATCCGATTCCATGAAGCTTTTAAATATTCCGCAACCCTTGTACTTAATTTTCGTATGATTTTGTTGATGTAGGTCTCTTGTCAACATAACAGCATTCAATCTTATACACCATGTTCATATCTTTCGGTTTCGTTAATATAGTTTCCGGTATATCTGCAATCCCACTGATCGGTAATTTTTTAGTGGACGTTTCTAATTCAGTACACAGTCTCACTACCAACATAGATAATATGGAGATAATCCGTGTTAGATGATTCTAGAAACGTACTCTGTTTCGACGATATCACATGCGGTTACAACCCAAGACATTGACCAGAATGTGGTCAAACATTGTACATCCGTTACGGCTTGAATGGTCACTTAGAAAATAAGAAAAGGTGCAGGAAGTCATAAAATTTGTGACAATTGAGGGTCTATTAACGCTTGGACTCAGAATCTTGTGATTCTATTTGGAGGTACAAAAGTGTTGGTTGGCCAAATTTCGAGCAGTCATATAACGATCTAATAGCCCCTAGTAGCTTACCACCCACCACCCCACAATTTCAGTCAACAATTCACCGTTTTCAAGCATTTCTAGCATAGCTGACAGAGAGCAAGATTCGATTTAGGGTGCGATCAAAACTAAAGACAGATTGCGTGTCCTGAAACATCTGCTCTACCGTTTATCAGCACGTCCTTTCTAAGCATTTTGCGAAGAGAGTCTGTCATGTAAAATAAACATAGAGCTGCCTATGTGGTCATTGTCGTTTCCCTAATTCTATAGTCCCCTTTTTGAACAGGAAAATAATTAATTTATACTGCTTTAATGCCCTTTTAGAATTCCGCCAAAATCGTACAACGTCAGCAACAGAATATCATCGTTATTCAAGGCTTTGAACATTTCAGGTACGATTTCACCTTCCCAACTCTGCTAACTACGCCGTTACAGGTTCGGATAAGAAATGG